GAACCGATCAGGTTTGGTTGTGATCGGTTCTGACCAGTTCTGGTTCTGTTTCCAGGTTGGTGTGGTTCTGCTGATGATGTTGGACTCGAGTTCTGCTCAGTTACGGAGACTGACCTGTCAGACATGTCCAGAAGGTAAAGCTGATGATGATGATGATGATGGTGATGATGATGGTGGTGATGATGATGATGATGATGATGATGATGATGATGATGATGATGATGATGCAGGTTCTGGTTCTGGTTCTGACGAATAGGGCACTATGTGACCAGGAACTGCTCGGTCCAGGACGGAGTCGGATACGGAACCAAATGTTCTCCCTGCACCGACTGTTCAGGTGAGACGTCCAGGACCAATTCTGACCCATTGGTCCCGGTTCTGGTCCTGCTTCCAGTTGTGTTCACAGTTCTGGTTCTGGTCCTGACTCGGTTCTGTCTCCTTGTGTCCTCCAGAGTCTCTCCAGAAGACTGTGGTTCCATGTTCTGCCTACACCGACTCTGTCTGCATGAACAGAACCACACTGGTACCAGCACCGGCCCAGATGAGAGGTAAGGTCAGCACCGTCAGGAAGGGGCTCATCACCTCTGACCTCCTGTGACCTCTGACCTCCTGCTTCTCATGTCCTCAGGTTCTTCTGCCTCCCTCTGGATCGGACTTGGTGCTGCGTAAGTATCACTCATGTTAGCGGTTCTGAAACCGACCGGTTCTGGTCCACTAGCAGCTCAGACCCAGCAGCTGATTATCAAACTTCAGTCTCACAACCTGGATTAGTGGATCAGAACCAGAACCAGAACTTTAGAGAAGAACTTGGCATTGACACTGACCTAGTTCTGGTTCTGGTTTTGAATCTTGTTCTGGTTCTGACCCTGGTTCTGGTTCTGGTTTCCACCAATCAGGTACTTGGTGGTTCACTCCTGGTCTCTGATTGGCCAGCTTGCTGCAGCGTGGTTCTGCTTCTGATTATCTGAAGACCTCTGATTGGCTGACTGCTGCATCGGTCTGGCTTCTGATTGGCTGACTGCTGCATCGGTCTGGCTTCTGATTGGCTGACTGCTGCATCGGTCTGGCTTCTGATTGGCTGGGTCGGTGGGGGTTGCCATGTTGTGGGTTGCCATGTTGCTAACGGCTCCTCTGGCTGCAGGTCTTCGTCGTTGCTTGTGGTCGTTCTCCTCCTGGTTCTGGTCTTCACCTGGAAGACCTGCAGGTCCGAGGGCTTCGTGAAGCTCCTCCCCTTGAACACCAGCTCACCTGAGCAGAAGGCCCCGCCCCCTCATCAGGCCGTTCCAGTCTGACCAGAACAACAACAAAGATCCTCTCAGCTCAGATGCTGCTGCAGCTACCTGCTGTGGCCCCGCCCCCTCAGAGCCCAGGTGTGGCTGGAGATAGGGACAGGTAGACCTAGGACAGGGTTAGGTTAGGGTTAGCCAGGTATGTGTCAGGTTAGCCAATCAGAAGTCAGAACAGCTGTGACATCACTTCCTAAGGTGGTCAGGTGTTGGTTCTGATCCGGTTGGGCCTGATCCGCAACTCAGAGAGAGTACTTGGGTCCAGACCAAACAGGAAGTCGTGATTGAAACAGGAAGTGAACCCTCACAGGACATCATCACAAGATGACATCATCACAAGATGACATCATCACAAGATGACATCATCACAATAGATAGATAGATAGATAGATAGATAGATAGATAGATAGATAGATAGATAGATAGATAGATAGATAGATAGATAGATAGATAGATAGATAGCATGTTAATCAGTAACAGGAAAAGTTCCACAATAAGTGAAAGGTTTATTGTTATAGTCAGAAATATTTTCTTTATATTAGAAATAAAATGATCAAAGCTGTTGGGTCGAAGGTCACAGAGCAGAAGATGCTGTGGAGCCTACATTTCCCATGATGCACCTGCAGCGTCTGGCTGGGGCGGAACTAGAGACAGTCCCTTATTTCCTGTTGGTGAGCTGTAAACATGGTAACACCAGTCAGCTGTGCAGGCTGGATTTTTGGATAATGATGGTGGTGATGGTCAGAGTTTACTGGGTTTACTGGGATCACTGGTTCTGTCCTTAGAAACGAGAACATGAACCATGTAGCATTTATCATGTTTCTGCTTTCATTTTAGTGTTTTATTTAATATTTTATTGTCTTTATTTATTGTTTTTATTTATTTTAATCAAATATTTGAATGAACCGAAGAACTGATTCGCTGTTGAACTGAAGCCACGCCCACTTTGTCCTGAATCTGCTCTCTGATTGGCTCAGTGTCACATGACCAGAACAGTCCAGCAGAACCCATTTCATTTCTGAAACTGTTTAAATTATTTTTATTGTTAATGAACATGAAACTTCCTGAATGTTTGTGACCAATAAAAACTTTAAAAGTTTCATTTTTTCCTTGTTTTTTGTTTGTTTATTAGATCAAGTAAATTAAAATTTTATTAAAAATAATCTGAAATGTTCAGACAAACTGAAACATTTTCACAGATTTATCCTGGTTTTCTAACGTAAACTATTAGTAATCTAAAATAATCTAACTGAATCAAAGTGTTGGAGTGGCCTAGTCAAAGTCTGGTTCTGCAGCCTGTCCTCCTAAAATCTCAAGAGTCTGTTTTAATCGGTTAAGTAGAGAGGGTCAAAGCAGTGTTGTAGTCCAGACCACCGAAACTGAGTTCAGACCAAGACCAGCACCGAGCGCGACGTAACACAATAAAATGTGGAATATGATCTAAATTACTAATCAAATAGATCTGAAAGATTCACAATCCCATAAAAACACCTGGATATTAAATACGTAGAGCTGAAATAAATTTAGCCAACTCTTTGTTGTGCTTATCTAAAAGGATAATGGATGATTTGCCCCTATCATTCATGTCAGAAACCACCACTGTCTGCAGCATTAAATGCAGCAACTGAGGCAAAACTCTGATCTGACTGTAAACACTCAACTATGAACATCGACCAAAGAGCAACAAGCAAGACGTGACCAGGCACAAGACGCTCAGCGTGACAGCTGTCTCCTCCCACTGCATGGAGACGCAGCTCAATGCTGCACTTTGAACGAAAACAGTCAATGAGCAATGCTGCTCTGCATGGTCCTGCATGGTCCTGCATGGCTCTGCATGGTTCTGCATGGCTCTTTCATTCTTGTGTTTTTTTTTATTACATATTCACTCCAGTCGTATCTAAAGAGAAGTTCAGACTCGGGTCGTTTATGAATGTCACGTCACTGGACTGCAGAGTTTTGGACTCGGTGTTGTTCCATATCTGTGACACGTTAATCAACACCTCGGCACAATAATTTATCATCACAAAAGCTAATAAATGTGTCTCTGTTCAACCCAGCTGGTTTTGACCCAGAATAACCTGATCATCATAAAATCTGGTCTGGATTTAAACCCGTCTCTGTTTTTCTCTCTGCGTTGAAACGGCTTGCCAGTGGTTTGAACTTCGACCCTTCTGGTTTTTACGTGAGGCTCTTCGAGTGGCAGATAAACGGCCTGACTGGACGACAATCGGCCCAGAACAGCAACATACAGAGTTAATCTGAGTTAATCAGAGTTAATCAGAGTTAATCTGAGTTACTCTGACTTGTTGCCCCTCATTCAGGTTGTCGGTCTGCAGACTCACTGTGGATCCAGAAACAACCTGCAGGAAGGGGCGGGCCAGGTCCACCTTCACAGGTTACCATGGAGACAAACAGGAAGTAACACACGCCGTTGCCGTGGTGACGGTGTTGTGTTTACTGTCTGACAAATAAACTTCCTTCCTTCAGTTCTTTCATCAAAAACCTGAGACCCGGTTCTGTTCTGACCCGATACCAGCTCTGGTTTCAGCTGGCAGCTGGTTCTGGTTCAGAGTCCAGAACCGGAGCAGAACCGTCTGAATGGACAGGAGGACGGCCTCTGGTGGACTCTGCTGCAGGGGGACATGTCCACTGGTCTGGGTCTGGTTCCGGTTCTGATCGGGTTCTACGGTCCGCTGGAGCAGGTCCTTCCTGTCGTTTCCTTCTAATCCTGCATGAGTTCCAACATTGAATTATTCTAGAGCTGATTCTATTTGATTGGATCCAATCAGAACCGATGGGCTGCAGGCCTCAGTCCAGTTCCTTGAAGAGAAACAAATGAAGTAAAACCAGCTTCAAGAAAGGTAAAAAACAATAATTTATGTAACAAACAAAACTAATTATTTTATGTTTATTTGCTTTATTTATTCTGATAATGAACATAAATAAGTGTAGATTAATTTCCTGCATCGGTAATGAAAAACACTCTGAAAATGTTTATAACCTGCTTAAAGATTCTTGATTCTTGATGTTAATCTGCCAGATTATTGAATATGAATGTTTTGTTCACCTCCCGACCCCGTTGCGCTTTTAACTTATTTTTGTTAAACATTGCCATCTAGTGGCCATTGTTGGTAGCCACATGGCATTTCCTCAACCCTGCTGATGTTGTTTTCCTGTCTGCTAAAGCATTTAAATTGAATTAATTACATAGGAGAATAGTTATTGCAGACACTCTCATGTGTAGTGAAATTATGCATTTTTATGTTGTAGTAAACTCAGCCTGTTGCTAACAAACAAGCCAAGCTAATTAAGCTAAGCTAATTAAGATCAATAGTCTGTGCATTGAAATTGTATAAGCAGTGATTTTGACATTGTTACTGCAGCAATAATACTTACATGTATTCCTTTCTTTGTCCTGTTACAGTTTCACTGAAACATTGATGTCAGTAAATTGTGTAAGATCTCATCCCTGAGTCTGAGGAGTTTCTGCATTTATTCTGTGCAGCTGTTTGCATCATTTGGCTGGTAAATGTAGTTAAATCTGTAAAACAGGTTGAGTTAAATTTTGGATTATTGCAGAATGAGTTCAGTCAGTTCTCCATCAGAACTGTATCCGCTGAGGTTCTGCTGGGTCCAGTGTAACTCACAGAACCAAACAGTGACAGGCTGGCTGCAGAAGCTCTGAGCTAAAAAAACAACAAACAAAAACAGAAATCACTGAAATATTTAATATTTTATTTGAATAAGTAACAAATAGCTCAATAAATAAAAATCCTGGAATGTACAGAGACTGAGCATTCATTATAAAGTTGAGCCAGTAAAACATTCAAACTAAAGAGGTCAGAAATGAAAAGTCAGCAGTTTGAGGCGTGGCTCTGATGCAGGACCTATCAGACGCGTCGCAGCTTCAGCCGCTGCTAACTTCAGTTATTTTATCAGATTTAACACAGGAAATGTTTCCAACCCTCAACTTTCACTCAGAGAAACACAAACAGGTTCTGGTTTCTAAACAAAACCCGACGTTACAAAAAAAAAACGTATTTATTCCCTTTAATATCTGAAGTTTTTATTTTCATTAAAGTTTTTATTTTTATTAATAGAAAAACAAAATGGAAATCAGCAAAAACAACAACAAAATGACAGTGATCCCTGGTAAACATTTCACTCACTGAATTTTGAACAATTGCAACAACCAAACGTCAAATTTTGTTCCTGATCCGGATCCAAGCAGCTAGACCAGGTTCAGGTTCTGGTCTGGGAACAGAACTGGTTCCTCTGCAGAACCGATCCGTGTGTCGATCCGAAGGTTTGGGCGACGAAAAGCCTTCAACAGAACGAAGAGCAACAATAAGAACAAACCACAGAATAAAGAGTTCAGCTTCAAGTCTGAATGAAATGTTTCCATTTAGAGTCAAACTGATTAAATATTTGCTGGTCCATTGACAGAGAGACAAAACCCAACTAATTCCCAGAATAAGTCCAGTTCAATTGAAAACTGGACCAGAGAAACTAAAACAATAATAATAACAGGAACCTGAAACGTCATATTCAATAAACATTATTATAAGTTCGAACAGCTGCAGAAAGAGACGCAGTGATGAGGAAAACAACCTGCAGTCCTGACTGACTGCAGGTCAGTCCGGTCATCTGACCTGCTGACCTCTGGAGGAAGTTCTGTCATCTGCATCAACATGGCCGACTTGTGACAGAGTGACCAACCTGCTGATCAGCAAACTGCTGATTGTGTAAGACAGGAAGTACTGAGGCCTTTACTTGTGAAATAATAAAAGAAATTAATATTAAAATAAAATGTTTAGATCTCAACTCAGAAAGCAAGGAGGCTGATTGGCAGCCCTAAGACCCGCCCCCTGGCAGTGATTGGTTATTTCTCGTTAGCACTGGGAGAAAGCAAAGGAGCGTTTTATTTATTTTTTTTACAGATTACATGTCTCATGAAATAAATATATATGTACACATATAGTTTTATAAAAGTTACTGCAGCAGGAGGAAGTCAGTGAGATAATAAAGAGAGAATTCATTTATATTTGATATTTAAAGAGTCCTGTGATGGACTGACAATGGTTCACATTCCTCTCACTACAAGTAACGACAGACTTTTCTTTCAATTTCAATGATTTCATAGAGAAAATAAATGATTCTCAGAGGAAATTTGACTCACTTTCTGCATTTGTCGGCATTTCCTAAAGATGCAAATGGAAATCAGAGCCATACAAATGATGAAGAATGAAAAAACAATCAGGCAAAGATGGAATCTGGTCCAGTGACCTGAAACAGAAAAGAAAGTCCAGATTAATTACCTGTAAACATTCAGGTCCACAAGTGATTCTGAAAGGTTCTGGTTCCTGCAGACTCACCGTTGCTGCTGGTTTCCTCCTCCTGTGGAGTCGGAGTGATGATGAGGCTTCTGGGAAGAACCGTCTCTGTTGCCGTCGTAGAAACAACGTTTGGATCTGAAGCAGCAACAATAACAGGATTTATGAGAAAAACTCCAACAGATCCAGATCAGAACCTGCAGTTTGGACCCGTTCCTCACCAACAACAAGCAGAAGTTCTGCTTCGATCCCGAGGCGTGGGATGAAACACCGGAACCTGCCGTGGTCCTGCAGGCTGACGTTCCGGATGGTCAGAGACACGTCTCCTCGCCGCAGGCCGTCCTGGGACAGAGACGTCCGCTGGATGTACGTGTCCATCATCATGTCTCGGTCCGTCTTCCTGAAGCGGTACACGAACACGTACTCCACACGCTTCTGAGGGCCGGACGGTCTCAGGTCCGGTCGGGACCACTCCACCGTCTTCCCCACGGCGTCCCACTCAGGATCCACACGACACGGGAGGATGACATCATCTCCAGGCGCAGCTACGATTGGCTGAGAGGAACCAATCAGACGGAGGCTCCCTGGAGACACAGGGAAGATTTATTGCTGCTATTTTCAATTTCTACATATTTTGGGGGAATTTTATCAAGAAGTGGAAGCAAACAAGTGGAAAAAAGAAAATTTTACTGTCTTCTTTCTGATCGTATCAGTGATGTCATTAACTGCTGAGCTCCATTTGCTCTCGCCTGAATCAACAACTAATGATTTTTATTATTTTATCATGTAAATCATTAAATTAATTCAGTTCTCCTTTAGCTTCCCCTCTAGAGCTTTGCTTTAAATTTGGAGAGAAAATCCAAAGTTTTCTAACCATCTATATTTTATCAATTAAGAAAATAATTGATTTTTGAAATTTTAATTTTTGGAAAATCTGGATTTTTATTTTTTATGATGCAAACAGAAGCTCGTTGTTTCCAATGAATGTGGACGAGCTTCCCTTCCAGATAATCAGTGATTCAGAGCAGTTAGATTCATTCTCAGTGAGTCATGGAGACCACAACCCGGTCCAAACGACTGAGTTACAGAACCTTTCATGCTCCTGTGAGCCGGTCACCAGAATGTGAAAATACAATGTTGAAAAGGGAAAATGATGTTTCTAGAACAGTAAGGTTAAAGTATGAGTATTTCCTTTTGCTTTCTGCCAATAACACATCGTCATTTCGGCTCCACTTAATCATCCAAACCAAATCCAAACTGGGCAGTTTGTCCAAATAAGTACAGGTCAGCGTTGCTCCCTTTTTTAGTGAAGGTCATGAGAGGAAGACGTCCGTAGGGAGGAGAGTCATGCAGAAAGCTTGACTCTTCTCCCTATGGAGAAGAGTCAAGCTTCTCCGTAGGGAGAAGATATTCTGAGATATTCTATCCAGACAAGAGAAACAGTTAAAACTGTATTTATGTCTCTGTGGTCCAATACAAACAGCCAGAGATTCATTATTTTACTGCTGAGTCATTAATCACATGTCAATCACACACATAACCAGAGGTGTGATGTTTTTGTGATCATAAGACTCATCAGTCACAGTAAAAACATCAACAACTTCAATAAAAAATGTCAGGGGTTTTCTAAAGTATGACAGGTAACTTTTCCCCAAAACTTTGTTGTTTGTTGCTCTGTAAAATACCTAAAGGCATCATCAGAGTAAAAGTAAAACTGCTGAAATCAAAAGAAAATGTCTGATTTTGAACAATGAAACAATATTAGTATTTAACATGAGTAATTATTGTGAGATAGGATCTTATCATGATAATTTAAGTCACATTTGAAAACAAACTTAAAGGTCTATAGAAATCTGATGAAGTTACACCAGTCAGTGAAATATGTCATCAGCTGCTGATTCACTGTTGAATAAAACTAAAATCCAATTCATGTGAAAAACATAAGAATTATGAAAACACATAAAAGTAACTTTAGCTCCACAGAAAACAAATTTAAACTTTATTTTCTAAACTCAGTTCTCTGGACTTAACGTTTATCACCGCAGAAAAAGTTATTAATTCTTTTTAATATTATTATTATTATTATTATTGAGCTCAGACTGAGCAGCAGCAGAAACTCACCGTCAACCAGAGTCCAGAACAACCAGAAGGTCAAAATCCAGGAGGAAACCATCAGAAACCAGGAGCATGTTCAGACGAGACCAGAGGAGAAACTGACTCAGGTAACTGATGGCTGGAGCGCTGGAGTCCAAACATGTGCCCGGAAATTACGTCAGCGTGACCGCCATATTGTGAGTGGCAACTACTTTCGAGAATTTGAAAACTGTTGACATTAAAAACTAACTATTTTCATTCTACATATTTCTATTAATTTCGACTGGAGTTTTTTAATTCAGAGGCAAAAAGCAACAATAATTTCAGATTTAAATCCGCTTTAAATTGACCGCTTTTAATTTATTTAATTTACTTTTCAACTTATATTAATACCAGCTAATTCATTTCAACTCAGTATCTAGTTGACATAACTTGTTCAATCAAACATGATTAAAGGTCTGTAGGTAAATGTGAAATTCTCTAATCTTACATATTAGATTTAAATAATTTACCTCTACATATTTATTATTTTTTTTAAAATAACGAGTTTATCTGGCATATTTTCCTAGAACATTTTTTTCCAAAGTACTTCACAGTTAAAACAAAAACAAACAGACAAAAAAAAAAACGCCAATTAAATCTTTTTTCTGTCTGACATCATTGTAACAAAAGCTACCTACTGGTGTAAAGAAAGTTGATTTATTAATTTACATGTAAAGGACAGAATTCACATAGAAAACATAAACAATAATGTTTAAGCAAGAAATGTTAAACACCTTTTTTTAAAATTAGTTTTAAGCTATAATCTTTTGAACTACAAAGGTCAAAGGTTGAAGCTGAGGATCTTTAAATGAAATATTTTCAGTACAGTTTGAGTCAGATTGATGGATGGATTTTCTCAGTCATGCTGATGAACCACAATTTATTACCCAAAAACCTTTTCAGAAACCCTAGATGTGAAAAACATTTAGTATTTTTGTTTAATTCATCTTCTAAACACAAAACTTGAACTACATTCATGAGGAACAGTGTGGTATTTGGCGCCATCTGGTGGTCAACTTTGAGGTTTCTCTGCATTGTTATCTCAGCCTTGTCTTCACAGCGCATGCGTCCTCACTGAGATGTAAAACCCTACAGAGTCAGAGTCTGTTGTGTCTTTGTGGGACCATCTGGACCATCTGGACCATCTGGACTCCTGACATCAGCAGATAGGAAACTCTGAAAACCATAACTGATTCTGATATTTGGAAATGTTTCAAAATTACCTTAAAATAACTTTTATAAATAGCACATGATGATAAAATGTGATAAACATTAAATTAAAGACTCCTCATGTTATATTCAGACAGTGAGTCAACCTGGTCGATGGACCAAAACAAACAATCTGAGGCACAAAACGACTTTATATACACAGTTTCATCTTTGTCCAATAAAATGATGACTCGTTGATAATGCTAATAAGTAGTTTACATCAGCTCATCTTTACATGGATTTGGTCTGACAAAGCAATAAACAAAATGTCAATCAATCAGTACAGTCAGTCGATTTAGCAAATGTCATTATTAACTTATGGACATTTTATTAAAACACTTTTTATGTCCAATAAGCATAGATATTATTATTTCAGGTGAACAGAAACAGGAAGGGGCAGCACCCAAACAAACTCCAACATCAACAAAACAAACAAGATGACAAATGTCTCAGCAGTGAGGAAATGACAACAGTGATGGGACAAAGAAACTGAAACCAACTGGACTTCAGGTCAGTGATGACTGCTGAGGTCCGATCAGCTCAGCAGAGGATCCGTTATAAACACAGATCCCAGCATGTAGAGGCTCAGTGAATCTGGTCTGGACTCTGTGCAGGAGAGTCGTGGTTCCAGAGACGCTGTAGAAACACAGAACACCTGCTCTGTGGTCCAGATACACTCCCACCCTGGAGGAAACTGGACCTGGTACCTGAGTTTCAATGTCATCAAGAAAAAATGTGTTACCGTCTTTGGTGCAATATAAACACCAGGATTGGTCATTGAATCCAAATCCTTCTGATCTTCTGATGCTCTTGTATGAAACTGCTACTCCGACTCCTCTCCCAGTCCACTCCACCTCCCAGTAACAACGTCCAGTCAGACTCTCTCTGCTCAGGACCTGCTTATAATCAGTGAATCTTTCTGGACGACCTGGATAAGACTGTTGTTGCATCATCCTTATTACTTTTCGGTTCCCCCCAGATAGAAACAGATTCCTGTTTGCTGTGTTTGGATCCAGAGTGATCTCCTTTGAATAATGTAAGAGTCCGTCTCTGGTCTTTGGTTCTGCCAGTAGAACATCCGCCTTAGTGATTGTCAGTGAGATGTTTGTCCACGAGTCTCTCAGGACGTCCTGTACGATGTCTCTGAGCTCTGACACAGCTGCTGTCACGTCCTCAAAGTGTCTCAGAGGACGGATGTTGATGCTGGATGATCCTGTAGACTCACTGAGTGCTGGCAGTGAGGGGTAGTTGAGGAGAAACTGGGTGTGATCCTCTGTGTGTGAGAACTGCTCCAGCTCAGCGTCTTTCCTCTTCAGCTCAGTGATCTCCTGCTGCAGCTTCTCCTGAACATCTTTGACTCGACTCACTTCAGTTTCCTGCTGGGATCTGATCTGCTGCTTCACATCAGAGCTTCTTTCCTGGAGGAGACGGATCAGCTCAGTGAAGATCTTCTCACTGTCCTCCACTGCTTTATCAGCAGAGACATTGATGGCCTCCACCTCCTGTTGAAGCAGCTTCACATCTTTCTCTTGGTCCTGGATTCTCTGATGGATTTGTTGTCGACTCTCCTGGAGCTTCTTCTGCTTCTCAGCTCTTTCTGCTGCAGCTGGGACTGTTTCATGGCCTTTATGTTCATCCATGCGACAGAAGATCTTCATCCTGTCATCATGACGAGCGCAGTGGTCAGCCTGGAGTCCAGTCTTCTTCAGATCCTCCACTAAAGCAGCAAACATGAAGTTCTTCTCCAGGTTGGGTCTTGGTATGAAGGTTTTCCTGCACTGAGGGCAGCTGTGGATTTTCTTCTGATCTTCTCCATCCCAGTGGTGTTTAATACAGTTCATACAGTAACTGTGTCCACAGGGAATAGTCACCGGATCCTTCAGTAGATCCAAACAGATGGAACAGGAGAAGTTACTTTGGTCTAACTGAAGTCCTCTGTGCTCCATTTCAGCTCTCAGTAACAACGACTGCAGGCGTTTCAGTTCTTTTGCAGAGGAGGAGGAAACAGAGACGTGTTTACAGGACACGAAACGTCACACCTCCGTTCCCAGGAAGGGCTGTGAGGTTTGTCTTAGACGTGCCTAAGCCTGCCTGTTTTTCCAGTATGTGCAGAATAGCTGAGAGTTACAGCAGAAATCAGATAATGACTCTGTTACAGAACCAGAAACAGAGAAGAGCTTTAACCATTCAGCTGTTTTTGGTTGTTTTAGACGCTTGAATTCTGCTTGATTTCATTCACAGATAAAAAATAACAGACTTATTTGTAATTTAACCAATTTAACCAATTGAATCATTTCTGAATTGGAATCATTTCTAATTCAGAAATGATTCAATGAAACATTACTTTCTCAAAAATAACGCTTCGTCGTCATTTATGCTTCGTGTTTTGAACTGGTGGTTTGGAACCAAATGTTCCTGATCTTGTTCTTTTGGTCAATACTCAAAACATCTACGTGTAAATGTAAAAATAATAATTTAACAATAAATTTCTCCACTAAATTCAGACCAGTACGTCACTGCTAATAACGCTTGAATC